CTGGACATGTCTGGGATCACTGCATCTCCTGAGAGGTTATTATCCACCTTAGTACCGCGTGGTTGACCTCGAATGGGGCGGATTAGTTCATTTTCGTCATTCAAATTACTGAAATAACAGGCTATTGTTTGAGAATCACGTATGATTTCCTTCAACCAATCATAGGATGATAAATATGAAGTGTTTTCATTATAAATTTTGTGAGTAAAATATTTTAGCAATCTTTACTCAAGAAGTTTACTCACAAGTTTTACTCAAAGTGGAAGAGTCAATCTTTACTCAAGAAGTTGACTCACAAGGTTTACTCAAAGTAGAAGATGCCGAAGTCTTTGTCTACTATCCAGAACCAAATTACTCGTTGTGAAAGAGGTATACAACAAGCATTGGCTCAATGCGCAGCTCAAGTTGGCGATAAAGATTTTCGATTTGATTTCAGTTTGAATGCTTTCGTAAACGGCATCACAACCATCAACCTTGACGATGCAGACGAGTCAATAACCAAAATCATGGCATTGTTCACAGAATGTGAGAAGATCATCGCTCTTGAGAAAAAGAGAAGAGCGTATACCAAAGAGTTGAAGAAAATTCTGAAAGTAAGAGAAAAGAAAGAAACGGCTGACAAGACAGAATGCATTTACGAGCAAGGCATTGCCACTCAAGATACCTACACCACCATCAAGTCAAGATGATATGGAAGAAGAGACATAAAACAAAAAATGTAATCTCATGTGATTGATCTACTAGTCGTGGAAGTTGATAAAGCGGTTGATTGAAAAAGGAAATGCGTCATAGCTAATAGCTATTGTTTGAGAACCAATCATAGGATGATAAATATGAAGTGTTTTCATTATAAATTTTGTGAGTAAAATATTTTAGCAATCTTTACTCAAAAAGTTTACTCACAAGTTTTACTTTAATTTTTATGCTAAATATTTTGTAAACGTGATTTTTCTTTAAGTGTATTTTGATTTTTTCGATTTTCATTTTTTCTCATGATTGCCATCATTATAAATTTCATTATAAATTTTGTGAGTAAAATATTTTAGCAATCTTTACTCTAGAAGTTTTCTCACAAGTTTTACTTTAATTTTTATGATAAATATTTTGTTAACGTGAGTTTTCTTTAAGTGTTTTTTTTATCAAACTTGTGAATAATTAGGGTTGATGGTAATACAAAACAGTTTGATAGAGCTTCATTTTTCACTATTTTTGGTTTTATAGAGGGTGAAAATCAAGTCGTCCTGAGCCTATCGAAAATGAATCGCTGCGAATCGGTTGAAGAATGATATAAATTGCTTTGGTAAAGCTTGATTTTTTACCATTTTTAGCGTTTTGGTTTTAGAGCCCCAAGTCCTATACTACTGGCGTTTGAAGGAAATACTGACAACAGGGAGAATGGCGGACCTATTTACACACATAAAGGCGGTGAAAATGTATTCTTTACAACCCTCATAACCTCCATACAGGACATTTTAATCCATATCTTTAGAAGGAGAGTAAGTGACCGTTTTGAATAAGAGAGAGCGAGATCTGTCTTTGAATCATTGAGTTTTTTTGGTCCTCGGGACGACTTTGGTCAAATATTGAGGTCAAATCCTAAGGTTAGTAAAGAGAAAGTGTTATTTTCTAGTACCTGTATATTTTTTATTGAGCTGCTTATATTGTTTACTGGTTCCAGTGTTGTACGGCATCATGGCAAATTCCACGCTTGTCAACAACACTAATCTTTTGTAAACTCTTTTTGCGTTTGAGGCCATAGAGTGTGCCTAAACCGCGCGCTGTTGTAGCAAGGCTTGAGTAATGAATCGTTTCTTCGTTTTTACGAAAGTTGTTTTCAATTCCTCTCTCTTATGGACATGAACGAGTATACGTTACTGCTCTAGGTACTTTTCCGAGTATTTTTGGGGGGAAATAATGGGAAACTGAAGGAAGGAATAACGACGTCGCTAAGTACGCGTACAAAATCAGATAAATTTGGAGGGTGTCACGAAAACGAAGACCTAAGACCTAAGACCCGGTCTTCGTTTTCGTACTACGAAGACGAAGACCCTGTAAAACGGAAAATCGTAGAAATTACAAGTTAAACACACATTAAACAGCAACAACGCTTAGTAATATAATAGTTTACACTTCACGCGTTTCTTCCCATTATTATACTGCCAGTACTACTGGCCCGTCTTGTCTGTTCCGTGTTTCGCTACGCGAGCCAATTTGGTGTTGATATTCTCGAGGGTTTCCTCGGGTAAACTTACCACATATTATTCTGGAACAGCAGGCAGAATTCGAACTGCGTTGTTCTCAAGAAGCAAAACTGTGGTCTTCAAATGACTCATCCTGCAGGCTTATGAATTACTACCCTTTTCCTCTTTGTAATTATCCAATACTCCTTCTACATTCCAATAAGTTGTGACTGACTCATTCTAAACAAGAAGAAGCAAAAATCAAAAAGAGACTTGTCTGGATATATCCAGTGTATTTCCTTGCTTAGTTATCATAATTTATTTTTATCACCATAGCGCATATGAAAATCATCGAAACCAATCTTAAGAAACTATTTGGTGAAAGACTGGATTGTTGATCACTGAATAAATTAATTATGAAAACATCTACCCTTACATGTTCTACAGTACTGATTTAAAGTTTCCTTTTTTTTTCCAGGTCACACAGTTCTAGGAAAAAAGAATGAAGAAAGCAGTGACAGGTGACTTGCTTTTGTTGAGTTAGTTCCATTTTGATAAAATAAAATGTGAACTAATAACAGTGGAGGTTGTTTTTTATATGTGCACATTTTTTATATATCTGGTGGTATTCAATAATTTAATGCAGAATTCAGTACAAATTTATTCCATGGTTTTGAATATCAATGAAACCTAAAAAGTGAATGACACAAGAGACTAGAAATAAACATCAAAGAGCTGGTTAATGTTCTGGCATGAAATAAATTCATATCTTAGAATTACTCGAATATTCTTTGAGTGATTTTCATAAAACAAAAATACCAGCCGTCGTATTTTAATTCCCTTTTTCGGGGATAGGACAAGTTAGTGATCTACAGCAAGTCAATTACATTATTAAAAATGTCAGTCTAGTGAGTATTTATTTTTGCTAAGCCTGGTTTGGTTCTCATTTTATTGTGCACTTGAAACTAGGAATTGAGGGCAGTACAAAGTGCTAGAAGAATACCAATATTAATGCACATGCATAGTGAAAAAAAAAAGCTTGAGAACTGAAGAAGGCTTAAAAAAAAACCAATATTCGTGGCCTCTGCCTTTTCAAGATTTCTTAGCTACTGGAATCAGTCTGTCAGTTGATTGGCTTCCTCTTGATATATTTGGTACGTGACTTTGAAACTCAATATATATTGTTGACATAAGGGTAACATTATCGTACATTACATATGGACAATAGATGACAAAACGAGAAAAATGCAAACATCAATCTGTAGAACACATGCAGATCAACTGACGACCAAACTAAAAACTGGTTTTCGAGTTTCCATTCTGATTATATACCTGACTAGCTATCAAAACAAGCTATATCGGTTAATTTTGTTCCGGATCCCAATTGACGGCAAAGGTAAGATCTTAGCCACCGTGTTTTGCAAAGAAAGAGTCCAATCGTCTTAAAATTGTTATGATTCAGACACGCATACATTTACCTAATTGAAAAAAGAAAACCTCCGTGAATGACGGTTAAAACAATTTAGATAATTTTTGCAACCAGATTAAAAATTAGGGCGTGGAGCAGAGTGTCTAACTTCCGTTCACACTCAATTCAATTGATTTTTAGTCAATATACAGATTGGAACAATATGAAGATTCAAGAAGCTTCCCAGAGGTTGTCGTTCACACTGTTGTCATCAGTCAAGCAGTGGTCCTGTCACTACTTGGAAACTCACTTTTCTGCCTCGCCTTCTATCGAAACAGAAGACTGCGAACCATCACCAATATGTACATGTCATCTCTTGCAGTGGCTGATCTAATGGTGGCCATCTTTGTGTTTTCGCCTGTTCTACTTGCTTCTGGTCTACGTAGATGGCCGTTCAGTCACTGCTTCTGTCAATTCATGATAATTGGCTTATTGACTACTTTCTAGGCTGAGTTATCGCTTTGTATTCTCGCACTCACAGCGATTAATCGTTATTTATGCGTCATGAAACCACAGCAATGTGCCTCCCTTTCCAATAAAAAGAATACTGTTATATCAATCTCTTCGATTTGGAGTTTCCTATGTATTTTTTGCGTTACATTACATGTCGTTGTACACACCATCTACCGAAGGCAATCAAAAGAATTATAATGTAAAGGGACATACGGCGTTAGGAGATTTCATAAAATGGTACAGATAGCTTTTGCATGTCTTAATTTCATATCAATGTCCATGGTGTTCTTTGCTTATAGCAAGATCTTTTTTCTCATAGGAGGACACAACAATGCTGTTCTCCCCTCACTACAAGGATCAAGGAACTTCCAAGCAAAGCTCGGTGTGCACGAAGTGAAAGCTGCCCGAATTTTTTTTGCGGCAGTGTTCAGTTTCTGCGTTTCTTGGATTCCTGCAGGCGTTCTGATCATTCTAGATTATGGCTTCGATGTGTCTATACCTTCGACTGCGCGACCAACTTCTTTTTTGTTCGCTTCTATCTCGGCGTGGATTAATCTTGTTATCATATAGCGGGAAAAAATTACTGAATTGTGATTGGTCAAGACAGAGGGAATTTTTTCTTAATTTTTGTTATTGCCCCGGGCAAAATTACTTGAAAATGATTGGCTGAAAATCGCTTAGCAACGGCTGCCAAGGTAAAGAAATTTCTGTTTGTTTTGTAACAATGGCGTCCCGTTTTGCGCGAGATCAGTAAGAAAACATTTTGCCCCCTATATTATAAACAAGTAATCACATGGTTCCTCGTAAATTTAAGGATTAATATCACGTGTTATCGGAAGTTGCAGAAATTTCTCGAGTCTGCGTGACTCGGGCAATTTCAGGAACTTCCGAAAACACGCGTGATGTTAATCCTTAATTTTACCCGGCCCCATGCGATTACCTATACTAATTTACGGCGTTATGAACAGGGCCATGCACATGGAATATAAAAATATTATATTTAGTCGGAAAGTTAACTGACCAGCTTCAAATAAGGTTGAGCGTTTCTATTGTGGTCATCAGAGATTTTCTTTACGCTTACCTTTTTTACAACTGACGGTTTAAATTTGTCCATTTACACGCCTAATGCCTGTCAGTTAACCCCACTAAGACCTTCTGTAAACTTAAGGAAAAACCATCGAAGACCTTTCCTCATTGCAGCAGTTTTCAATGAAGTGTCGAAAAAGCAAAACCGAAGTATTTATCACGAACAAGCACGACAAAGGTGTAAATTATCATTGGCCAGTATGAACTCTAACTGGAAACAAGTAAACTGCTCCAAGCGCGGGAAAACGAGAATGGCCAAGCCGCAACTGTTTTAAGTTTTGCATCTAATTGGTTGTATGTCTTAATTTCGTATCGGTGTCCATGGAGTTCTTTGCATACAGCAAGATCTTTCTTCTCATAAGAGGACACAACAATGCTGTTCTCCCCTCACTACAAGGATCAAGGAACTTCCAAAAAACGTTAGGCGTGCACGAAGTGAAAGCTGCCCGAGTTTTATTTGCGTCAGTGTTCTGTTTCTGTGTTTCTTGGATTCCTGCAGGCGTTCTGATCATTCTAGAATATGGTTTCGATGTGTCTAAACCTTCGACTGCGAGATCAATTTCTTTTTTGTTCGCTTTTACCTCAGCGTAGATTAATCCTGTAATTTATGGCGTCATGAACAGGGCCATGCACAAGGAATATAAAAATATTATATTCTGTCGGAAAGTAAACTGACCGGCTTCAAATAAGGTTGAGCGTTTCCATTGTGGTCATCAGAGATTTTCTTTGCGGTTACCTTTTTTACAAATGAATAAAGGCTGATAGTTTCGAAAGAAACTGTTTGGGGCTGCGTCGGTGGGAGTAACGAAATAATTTGGATATATCAACAAAGTTGAAATGGTAAATTGGCCACCGTAATGATTACAAAAGCTGACGTTTCGAGCGTTAGCCCTTCGTCGGAGCGAATAGAGGAATTGTGGGTTGTGTGTGCTTTTAAAGGCAGAAAATGGAGCTACGTTATTGGTGGGTGCATGGCAACGAGAAAAACATGAATAAATTAGTGGAATGAAAAGCGTTCATTGATCCCTGTGGGATTTAGACTGCCGGTTTGAAAGATGAGCTTTTGTTCAAGATTTTTACGGCTTTCCGTGCCACCTAAGTGCAAGGAAAGACCGCAGATTGCCATATGTTGCTTAGAATGATTAGGTAAATTAAAATGTCTAGCGACTGGTTTCGATGTGTCCTTGTCATTCCTTTCCACGTCTCGAAGGTGTTCTCGGAATCGGTCACCTAGTCTTCTGCCTGTTTCGCCGATGTATATCTTTTTGCAATAAGTGCAAGTTATGCAATAGATTACATTAGCGGAGGTGCACGTGAAGTGATCGGTGATCTTAATGGATCGTTTAGGTCCCGATATTTTATCAGTGTTGTGAATGAAAGGACACGTTTTGCATCGTGCACGAGCGCATTTAAAAGTGCCTGGTTGCTCATTAGTCTGAAAAGAACTTCTGACCAAAAAATTGCCTAAGTTTTTGTCGCGTTTGAATGAAATGAGCGGAGGCTGCGAAAAGATAGTGC